GCCCCGCGGTCACTGGCTCTGCCCACAGCTTGCACCGCGCTGTGATTGACGGTGTGCGCCGTGGGGTCTGTGACGAGCCTCCTCCCTTCCTGCAGCTCCAGAGGGCCCAGCACGGAGCCGGTGCACGGGAAGAGGCGGCTGAATTATTTCGCCCCATCCGGACTTGGAGTCCCGCAGGCCTGAGTTGGAAACTTCCCTCTGCTCTTGGTTAGCTCTGTGACCTTGGAGAGTCCTCACCTCCGATCCTGCCCTGGTGAAGGTCGAGAAGACGGCGTGTGGGAACGGGCCCCTCGATGGAAAACGGCACGCAGCAGGTATGCACTGAGCCGCCTGCCGTGGCCTCCAGGCACCTTATGTATATCAGCTCTGTAAATTCTCATCCTCCTCCCTGTCGTGCAGACCAGGAAACTGAGCCTCAGACGTGAAGCCCCTTGCCCAAGATCACACAGCTAGAAAAGGGCACAAGCGGGATTTGAACCCAGAAAACGCGGCCCGAGCGTCCGTGTGCAAAACCGTAATTAAGCCTCTGTATTTATTGCTGAGCACAACTGACCTCACAGAAATCCAACCGGTCTTGTTTCTCTTCTACGAGAGATGAGGCAATCCAGACTCAGAGAGGGTAAGTAATTTCTCTAAGGTCACACAGCTAGTCAGTGGAGGAGCTGGGATTCTAGCTGACTTGACTTTCCTACTGCTCGGCGCTCCCCAACTCCCTGAATTTTGTGGCAGGACAAACGGAAGCCCAGAGGACAGGAATGTCGTCCCTGAAGCCTGTGGCAGGCTGGTGGTGGGGCTGGAATGCAAACCCAGCTCCCGTTGACGATTGCTTTGTAACTAACCACCGTGGCTTAGCAACCGAACACTACCATGACTTTATTTCTCGCGACTTGGTGGGTCGGCTGACGGCGCCTCTGTGGTTCTGCTGGGCTCATGCACGGGGCTGCGCTCACTGGAGGGTCCCCGTGGCCTCGCTCATGGGCCAGGCAGTTGGTTCTGGCCGTCGGCTGGGGCTCCTGGGTTCCCCTGCCCGTGGCCTCTCATCTTCCCGTCGGCAAGATGGGCTCCGTGGTGGTCTCAGGGCGGAAAGCGGGTGAGAGCAGACTCTCCACTCAAGGGCTGGCCCAGATCCGGCGCTGAATTCTGTTGGTCAGAGCACGACAAAGGCCCCGGATTCATGGGTGGGGGATGTAGACTCTGCCCCCTGAAGGTCACGCTGTGAAGGCACGGGGGAGAGGTGGCCAGTCTCTCAAACGACCTCCAGGGGCCCTGACCAGCCGGCCCGCCCTCCCTCTCCATGCACTTGGGTCTCCCCCCTTCCTCTTCAGCCCCCACTGGTTGTCAGTGAGGTGCACTCGGCAGCACAGATGTCTCCTCGAGAGACCAGTGAGGGCAGGGGTCGGGGACACCCCAGGCCCGTCCCTGCAGCCTAGCTCTCTGAACGTGGCCACACTTGACCTCGGCTGTCCCTGTGGATCTGGGCCACCCTCCGTCTCCGCCTTCTGCACGGCGGGCCTGGGAGGGCAGGGCTGGCTCTGGGATGAGCCAGCTTCACCGCACGGGCCTCTGACCCACTTTGTGGTCCTCGCGGCCCAGCCCCACAAAACGGGTGCTTTCTCCGCAAGCAGGGCTCCCTGGCAAACCTCCAAGGGCCTGAAATGACAGACTGTTCCTGGCTAAGTGGAAAAACTGTACTGTACAGAGACAGAGGTTGAGTGTTTAGGATAATTAAGAAAAATGTGCAAATCTTTATCTGGTTTTATTTTTAAGGTTGCGTGGGGTGGGGGGGACCCTGGCCCAGGAGGAAAACCCACAGACAGGTGCATGGGTGCATGCCAGAGAGAAAGACTGTGTCTCAGGAGGGGTCTGCACCATGTGGGGGTTGCTGTTTTGGGGGTGGAGGGCGAGCAGAGAAGATATGTAACCCATTAGCCATGATGTCAAACAAGATGGGAGAAGCGCTCCCACTTCTGGGCTCCACGGAACTGAACACGGGGTCCCCGAGAGACGTCCATACACCACATTCACAGCAACTTTATTCACAAGCCAAAAGGTAGAAGCAGCCCGAGGCTGAATGGGCCAGCAGAATGTGGTCCATCCTCATGGTGGGATCTTATTTAGCCTTATAAAGGAAGGGCATTCTGATACCTGCCACAGCGCGGATGAACCTGGAGGGCATTACGCCGAGTGAAACAAGCCAGTCCCAGAAAAGGACAAATACTGTGTGATTCCACTTCGATGAGGAACCTAGCGTGGCCACATTCGTAGAGACAGAGAGGGGACGGAGGTGTCTGGATGCCGGGGGCCTGGGGGGCTGGGAGTCAGGGTGGAATGGGGACAGAGCGTCCGTCTGGGAAGATGGAAGGTCCTGGAGACGGACCGCGGTGCCGGCTGCACAAGGGGAATGTGCTCGGGGCCCCAGAACTGAACACGTACAGACAGTGAAGATGGTACATTTTGTGTGATGCGTATTTTACCGCAATTAAGAAAAAAGACCCTTAGACGCCCAATGGCACAGATACTTAGGGGAGGTGGCAGATGCAGGGATGTGGGCCCGGGACCCATGATGTGGGAGGACAGGAAGGACAGGGAAATTCCGTGGACAGCGGGAGGGAAACCCGGGCAGGGGAGGGGCTGGGAGCGCACAGAGCGGGTCCGGGAAGGCCGAGGTGCCACGTGCAGGTGAGAAGCGCTTACATCAAAACGACTTTTTTTCTCAAAAGAAAGAAAAAAGCAAGAACCACAGACATTTCCTTCTCCAACTCTGGGTATATGGGTTTCCACTGTGAATAGCATATAAACACTTTTTAGGGAAAAACAGACTCGTGGGTCTGTTTCTTAGCGGATCGAGCCATAAACACGAGCCTCCACCTTCTCTGTGGCAGGCGCTGTGGCCCGGCCGCGGTGCCGCTCACCCAGACAGACGTGCTCAGACCCCCCAGCTGCGGGCCAGTCATCGAAGCCATCGCTTCATCCCAACGAGCATACGGAGATTATGCATAAATGGAGGGTGGGCAGATGAACGAAACCACAGATGCCTGAGATAGCGTGGATTTCCTGGTCGGGGTTAGGGAACGGTGGGGGGCGGCCAGCGGGAAGGGGGAGACCCAGCCTCTGTGATACCCCTACTGTGCGCCGGGACTCTGCTGGGCGCTTCTCTCAGCCTCGGCATGTAATTGCCTCAACAACCGGGGGCCGAGGGCATGCTAGTCTCCCAGAGCAGTGGAGACCGAGGCCCAAAGTCAAAGCTGTTAACAAGTCGGGGAATGAGGGTTTGGAATTCGTCTGGATGGGACCTTCGCCAACGAGCTTCTGGCTTTGTAAGGTTCAGCTGCTCCCGCCATGGGCTTCAGCTGACACTCATACTTGGGGTGGACGAGACCTCCGGAAGGGTGGGCGTGAGGACATGAGGGAGGGATAGGGAACGAGGGTGGAGGGGAGGAGGCAGGACCCCAGGGAGGCCAGTGTCAGGGTCCAGGGAGGAGAAGGGATGTATGCAAGGGAGGCTGAGGGTGGAGGCTGAGAGGCGGCAGGGAGGCAGGCCAGGAAAGGGTGAGAGGGAGGAGCTAGCGAGCAAGAGGGGACAGAGGATGCAGGATGCCAGGATGCGGCAGAGCTCAGCCTCCCCATGACCCTGGGGACCGTGGAGTCCTCAGACAGCTGGTGAGGAAGGTGGGACGCACCGTGCAGACACCCGGGGTGGGGACTGCATCGGAGCTTCTGCCCGAGGGGCTTCCATGAGGATGCAAACCAGGATTCTGTACATGATGTCTTTATGTGCAAGTTATTTTTGCTGTTAACCCACGTGGCTGTGCCTGGTAATTACAGGGTAAAAGGATTTAAGAAAGATGTAATTTCTCCCCATCAGCACCTGACTGTTCTGCGTCTCCCACCTCGTGCTGGCAGCCAGGCTCTCTGCCTTCACGGGTCCCACTTTGATTTCAGTCACGTAGCAAAGGAATCTGAAACACTTTCAAAGTGATTAGAGAGAGGAGGCGATTGCAAGTTTGGGTCCAATGCAATAATTACATTAACTGTTTGTGGCCATCAGGCTCTCAGGAGGGAAGTCCCCGTGGTTGCTGGGGCGGGGGGGCAGGGGCTGGAAGCGCAGCAGGGGCAGAGGTGGCCATGACACTGCACGTGCAGGTGCAGATGCAAATGCAGGTGCAGGTGCAGGAGGTGGGTGCAGGTGCAGGTTCAGGTGCAGGGCGTGGGCCCAGCTGGTTGCCACATTAATCACAATGATGAGGATGATGGATACTGTTTATTGAGGATTTGCCACTTGTCCAGTGTTCTCTTTGACCTTCACTAAAGCCCCATGAGCTGGGCATTATGATCCTTGTCATAAAGAAACCGAGGTCCAGAGAAGTCAGTCTCTCGTTCTACGTACACACCTACGTCCGCCACGGGGGATGCAGCTCCAGAGGCTCAGGGTGGGGGGCGGGGGAGGGGCCGTAGAGGTTGAAAGCACCGCCCAGAGGGAAGATGGAGAGAGTGCAGGGAGTGAAGAGCCCGGGGGTCTCGGCAGATTTTTCTCTCTACCCTCCATCTTAGTTTCCAGTCGCTTCTGTCACAATTCACTAGAACATAGCGGCCCGGAACAACGCGCACTTGCTATCTGACAGTTCGGAGGTCTGAGATGGGCCGGCAGGACCGTGTGGCAGGTGTGGGCTCTGGGGGAGAGCTATCTCCTCGTCTTCTGCAGTCTCTAGAGGCTGCCCGGGCGTCACTCCGACCTCCGCCCACTCTCACGCCTCCTCTCCAACGCACGCTTTCCCGGCGGCGAGCGCCTCGTGTCTGGCGTCTTTTTTGCGACGTGAGCAGGCTGAGATTTCCCCCCATCACTTCTCTCACCGGTTCTCTCCTCGATTTCTCTCTTGGATCTTGCGTTTTCCTATGAGCAGCCAGAGGAAACCAGGCCACGCCTCCAGCGCTGGGCCTGCAATCTCAGCTAAACATGCAAGCTCGTTGCTCACAGCTCTGTCAGCACAGGACGGTAGGACTCCCGTCGGCTGCGCTGTCTGCCATCATAGAACAGAGACCCCCTTTCCTGCAGTCCCTCATTTCCCGAGCAGTTCCCAAAGCCACCTCCGTGGTTTTGGGTATCTGTTACAGCAACACCCGCTTCCAGGAGCAAAATCTGTGCCAGATAGCGCGCGCGGTTGGAGAGACCCTGCCGGCGGGAGACCGTACTGGGAGGTTCCATGGTTGTGGGGCCGGCTGGGCAGGGCCGGAAGCCGCAGGGCAGGCCCCGGGGAGGGCAGGGGGCTGGCCGGCCTGAGCACTCTGCTCTGTGCTGGTGGAAGGCTCGGCCTGTGGCGAAGGCTCTCACCCGAGAGAACCAGGCCCCTCGGATTATCTAGCCAACCGACTGTGGGCCTCAGTCGCGTCCGCACATCTTCAGCCCCCTAGGCACCCCCTCGGTGAGTATTTGGATCACTCGGGATTGAGGCCTAGCCAAGCTGACCCGTAAACCTCACCAGCATCCCCCTCCTCCCCTTCTCATCCATGAGCCGGTGAGGCCCCTGAGTGTGGGTCAGGAGGTGTGGCCGGGGCACGAGAGAGGTCAGAGGGCAGGAACGGTCTGCGTCGCGGGGGCATCTGGCGATATTCCCATTGGTGTTGGTTCACTGCCGACCCTTCCTCTCCTGGGTGCCATCGACCTCCGTGGGCTATGACTGCATGACAAACGGCGCCAACGCTCAGTGGCCTAAACCCAGCGTCAGGGTCTGCAGGTGCGGGTGGGTCTGCTCATCGAGACCGTGCTTGGTTGGTGGGTCAGCTGCAGGCTGTGGGTTTGGTTCACGGCTCCCCCATAGCCATCCTGGAGCCCAGGCCTGGGTTCCGGGGACGCCCGAGCATGTTCTTCCTGCGGTGGGTCACTGGGGGGTCAGGCGTGCAGGCCTAACCAGGCAAGCGCCTTTGCTGTCCCGCTCCGTTGGCACACCTGTGGTCAGAGCGAGTCACTGCCCGGCCCGGAGCCGAGGGGCGTGATGGGGACTGTGCTGAGCACGAGGTATGGCCAGGGAGAGAGCGCACCATCCAAGCAAAGGAGTGAGCGATGGGGACCTGTAATTCTGCATGTCTCCACCATCCCAGCTCTGGGGGCTCCCTCACCAGCCCCTCCCTGGCGGGCAGTTACGGCGCTCCCTTGGCCTCTGATTCCCAGTGATGTTCTCCACCACAGACTGCCTTCTGGGGCTCTGTTGCCCCGCTGGGCAGCCCTCTTGGGGAAGCTCCTCTAAGACCACGCTGAGCTGTTTGCTGCTCGATGGTGCAGCCACAGGCCCCCTCAGCCACGTTCTGCCCTTTAGATTTCCAGACGTGAGTCAGATGCCAATCCACCACGTGCCCCAAGTTCCACGGGGCTGCGTAGCACGTGGTCCCGAAGCCCATCCCCAGCACCCCCGTCCCTCTCTTTGGGTCCCCGAGCCTGGCTGGTTCTCCATTTGCGCAAGAAGGATCGATGGCCAAGTTTGGGGCCTTTTTCCCTCCACTCAGAGTCCTTTTTCTCTTTCTGGGTCAAGCTTGCTTCCGGTGCTGCTTGCCTTCCACCGGACGCGGCATCTGTGTTTGGAGCCGAGCCCAGCCGCTTCCTGGCAGCTCCCTTGTGCTCTGCGGAGCCCGTGTGACTGCCCGTTACCTCCGCCTCCCCCCTCCGCCTCCCTGCGGTTACTCAGGGCAGCTCATTCTCCTGCTGAGGGACCAGGGTCTTGCTTCCCCGAGCCTCAAACCCAGAGGCTCTGGCCACATGGGCTCCCGAAGATTCGGGCGAAGAGCCCCGGCCGGCGGCGGGGTGCGTGGTTTCCACCACGTCCCACAGCGCATTACTTTGGGTAATCACAGGCGTGAGTGTGAACACTGATTACATCCACAGGCACCAGGCAAAGGAAACGAAGCGTAACTAGATAACGTTAAGCAAATTTATGGGATTGCTACTTCTGCCAGGCCAGATCTTTACTTGCCTGTGCGTAGAGGAGTGACCTCTGAGGTCAAGTCCGAATTGCCTGTTTTATGCTTCTGTGGATCTAAGCACAATGCAGGAGCGTGTTGGGCTGAAGGAACCCCTGCCAGCCAGCTATCCTGCACCTCTCTGCTGTTCCCCACCATTAAGCCCCTCTGGGTGGTGGCCTGGCAAGGCCCAGCCGGGGACCCTGCATCTTTCCCCTTCCTTCTGTGACGGGAGGGGAGGGGGCTCACGTGGCCCCTGCCCTGCCTGCCCCTGAATGGGGAAGGGTCACGGCTCAGCAGGCTCTGCTGGCCTCAGCAGGGGACACTCTGCTCACGGCCTCACCTTGCCCAGACCGGCCCCCTCACCCCTCGAGCCCCAGGGGGAGTAATGCGCGCTGAGGCCTCTGCCCCACAGTGGATGTCCTTCTTCTGGGCCTGGCTTTGGGGCTCCCCTGGGGGGGGGGCCTGACACACAGCAGAGGCTCAGCAAATGTCGGCTGGAGACGAGGCGAGGAAAGGGGACGCCTCCTGACCCCTCAGCCCCCAAGGGTCCCGCTCAGGCTTCCAGGCGAGGCTGAAGCACAGACCAGCTGCAGAGATGCTGGACCGATCTGCACGATGCTGGACATGAAGATACCGTGCTTCTCGGGCTGGAGGCCCCGCAGCTTTGTCCAGCTCTCCCAGCAGAGCCGCCGGCTGCTGGCTGCCTCAGTCAGGCATGTGGACCGCTGGATGGAATGTTCTGGCACAGAAGAGTAGAAGTCATCCAGAGGATGGGCCAATTTTTTTTTTTTTAAACTGTTTTACTCCCCTGGGAAGTTTATTCCACGGCCGAGGGCTGCGTGCACCTGCCGAGGGGAGCTGGGTCGAGTTTGGGTTTGGGGAAGGCAGGTCCGAGGTAGGAGGTCTGTATGATCAGCCACTTTTTTTTTTTTTTAAGATTTTATTTATTTATTTGCGAGAGAGAGAATGAGAGACAGAGAGCACGAGAGGGGGGAGGGTCAGAGGGAGAAGCAGACTCCCCGCCGAGCAGGGAGCCCGATGCGGGACTTGATCCCGGGACTCCAGGATCATGACCTGAGCCGAAGGCAGTCGCTTAACCGACTGAGCCACCCAGGCGCCCTGATCAGCCACTTTTATAGAGGGTGACAGAGGCTTGGAGACCTGCCCAGGGCCACACCATCCGGGTGCAGCCCACAGGAGCCTGGCTGGACTTGGGCGGCTTTCAGCCCCATGGTGCTGCTTTCCCAGGCCCTATGCGTTCACTCCGGCTGCACCAACCCCACTAATCACGTGCGTGGCCACCTGTGCTCACCCGCGTGATCCACGGCCTTCCCCAGGAGCTTCCCAGGGGAGCAGAGGGTGAGCGCCTTCTGCCCCTCCTCCCACCAGCCCCCAGCACGGGGCCTGGTGCAGAGTAAACTGCTTGCTGCCTGCTTCCTGATTGGATGCATGGGCCAGTGAATGAATGATTGTGCTGAGAATCCCCCAGGGAAGCCGGTTAAACTCCAAGATCCAGCCCCCCACCCCGCTCCAAGATTCCAATTCAGGAACTTGGGAGCGGGCACACACATCTGCCTTCGAAGCAAGTGCCCAGGCCATTGGGGTGTCCATTGTGGTGCCCGTGAGTCACAGACTGCCCTCGGAGAGGCCCAGGGACAGGGAAGAGGAGCTTTCTGGTCATTGGGCAGGGGGAAGCATGTCCTTTATTCTGTGGGCAGTGGAGAGCCATGGAAAGTATTGAGCGTGGGGATGAGAAGCCATCCAAAACTGCTTTGCAGAAATTGCTTCCTTGCCCAGCGAGGTCTACCCCCTCCTCTTTTTTTTTTTTGTCAATGAGACTGATGAACAAGACAGATTCCCAACAAACATCAAGCTGCAGCTCAGAGCTGTGTTTCTGAGAGCGGGCAGGCCATTAGGGGCTCCCTGCCCTTCCAAAATGGCTTGTTAGCGCGTTTAAGCCCTTTGTAGGAGGCTCTCCTCCGCTGTAATTGGGCCTTCACTCCGTCGCATTTCCTGGCCACGGAGCTTGTTAGCTGTCATGCAAGGCTGCGGATTTGGAGGCTTATTTTTCATAGGCAACCCCGTGGGACTCCAGCCGTAAGGAACGCGCCCTGTAGCAAGCAGGAAGGAGGAGGGAGTTCAGCGTGGGAACCATGCACACGACAAGATGAGGTGTCAGCGCTGGGGTTTCTGCAGGGCTCAGCTCCTTCGGTGGATGTTTCTGGATGTCTGTGTTTAAGGCTGTTGTGCCCGGCTTGGCACCAACCCGCTCACCACAGGGGAACCACGACAGCTCCTTCTAGCCTCACAACTCCTCTCGCTGCATGTGTTTTAGAAGAAGGGTCATTTGAGCGGTACGTAGGCATGCCGGGGGTAACCCCACAGGAGGGAAGCATGTGGCCGTCCTAGATTCAGAATCCGTAGAGAAAGCCCATGCTTCCGGGCCCTGGGTCGATGGCAGAGGGGGTATCGTGAGACCCGGTGCCCATCTGGGGCCCCGAGATCCTGGGTTTTAGGAGAGTCTCCCCTATGCTGCTTTTGGCTCCAGGCTCTGCCAGGCTGCTGTGGACCAGGACTCAGGTGCAAAGTGCGCTGGAGGGAACGAGAGGATCTGTCAGGAGAACAGACTTCGTAAGAGGAAGGAGAGAGGACAGGAGGATTCCGAATTCTCAGGTTCGCCGGTGGCCTTGCGGGCTTGAGCTGGGACAGACGGACAAGGCAGGATGGGGGGTGGGGTGGGCACGAAGTCTCAGGGAAGGTGAGGTGGGGGCAGGAGAGTAGGTATTTATAACCAGACCTTGCCTGTGCTCGCTATTCTGGGTTCCCGCGGTACCCGGCCCTACACCCTAGACCTGAACTCTGCCCTTCTCTGCCCCGTTCTGTGCCCCGGGAGGCCGACCCAGATGGGGGACACCAGCCAGGGGGCTCCTTGCTGACTAGGGAACATTGGGTTTGGCCAGCAAGCACCAAGAGAAGATTGGAGGGCATGGGGAGTGAGGATGGGGTGTGGCTTCCTCAGACCCTCCCTGGAAGTTGCTGGATCCTTCCGTGCTCAGTCTGATGGGTTTCTGTAATCCCATTTCCTCCCTCTGCCCCATTAGGTCTGTGGGTAGTGATGCCTTCCACTGTGGCTGAGCTTTGGCTGCCCCATCGTTCTGGCCCACAGTGCTGGGAGCCTCCCCTCCAGATGGGCCTCTCCCTTCCCATGATCTCAGCTGGATTCTCTGACCGCCTGGGGCCTGACTCACACAGGCTCCCCGTTCCCTGACCCTCGTCATCCTGGCTACAGCTCTGTTCCTCTGAAGGGGAGCTGGGTCTGGTCTGCTCTGACCCTGGGGAGATTCTTGGCACAATGAAGGGGTGGGGAGGAGGCTGTGGGAGAAGGGAGATGAGAAGCTTGTGGCGGGGGCTGGAGGGAGAGGCCTCGGGGCCAGCCGTGCAGGGTCTTCGGGGCACTTCCCAAGAGGGGGTCTGTGTACGGCCCCAGCTTTTGGAAGGCCCCCCTGTGATCATTGATGGAGGAAGGCCCAGAGCAAAACCACCTTACTGGAGAGACACGGTTGGTATTTACGATGTCAGAGTGACATTTCTGATAAGAAAATCACAAACCCGTTGAGGCATTTTGACGTGGGAAACATTTCCCTCAAGGCACAATATAAGCAATTAAGGCTGATATGGGGAAGCGGGCAGGTCTGCGAGGTGGGAGGTGACTGGCAGGTGCCTTGGGTGGGTGGGGGGCCCTGGGGAGCGCACCCTCCTGAGCTGGGGGACAATTCTGGGAGGCTCGCCCATGGAGGCCGAAGGAATCTAAGATCCTGGAAGTTCTGGGGCCAGGGGGGTGGAAGGTGCATCCCCTGTGAGGCATGACTCTCTCTGCAGGCAGGAGGAGAAGGAGGAGGAATGAAGAGACCTGCTTCTTTCCCTCGTCCCACCCGCCGGGCACTGGGGCACCACCATGGGAGGACACCCCGCCAGGACCCTGCCAGCAGGGGAAGCCGGCTGGGACCGCCGTTTCTAAAGCAAGGTGCTGCAACCTTCAGCATTTTTCTGACGGACACCACATTCAGGAGGGAGGCTTGCTGGGCTCCCAGCTTAAGTGTTGCAAAAATCTCTTGTGTTACCAAGTTACCAAATACTTGCTTGTTAGCTTCCGGGGCGCCCGGGCTGGGAATCCGCTGCTCGGGGTTGATGACAGGGGTCCCAGGCGGCTGAAGCTTTCTTTATAGAATGAGCTCCGTCGTAGCCAAGTTGGTGGCACAGGGAGTTTCTGCAAAGGGAACCCGGACTCCCCGTTATCTCGTTAGTTAGTCGGAGATGCGTAATCGTGAGGATTTAACAGATGTTTCTCCGTGCGGACACACGGAGAGAGGGTAACAATGTGACGAGCAGGGGGCACGGGCAGACGTCCCACGGACTGTCCCCCGGGGGGGTGGCTGGTTTCTGCCGGGGTGGGGCGGGTAGGGAGACGGCCTCTCTGCTTCTCTCCTACTCCGGATGGGTGGGTGAGACCCCCTCCCTGCTTGCACTGCAGACCAGGGGCCCTTCTGGGCTGTGGGACGCGCCTCGGCGTTGGAGACCAGAGGGGGCATTTCAGGAGGGATGGGGCAGGACCCCTTACGCTGGCGGATTCCCGATTTCCGGATGGTGGGCTCCTTTCTCACGGGCACCGTCGCCGAGTCACCGCTGAGAAAAGCCTTCACAGCACAACTCAGCAAATCTGCTCAGAGATGCAGGAATAACCTTCCCCGTACTGTCATTAAGTCACATCACATCCTTTCTCTCTAATAATGCGACACACAATTTTTGAGTGACTATTATATTGTACAAGTGCTGTGGATGGAATGGAGAACAGTAAAGACATGCCCCCCTTCCCCTCCAGGATTTATGTTCTGGAGACGCAGAAGGAAAACACGAAGAGATAGAGACTAGAATGGCAAGTAACACGTGCAATGAAGAAAGTAGGTAAGCATGACAGGAACTGTTGCCATTATGGAGGCAGCCAGGGTGGCCTCCCCGAGGAGGTGACATTTGAGCAGGGACCATGAAGTAAGCAGGACAGAGGGGACAGCAGGGACAGAGAGAGCAAGGACAGAGGGAGCAGGGACAGAGGGAGCAGGGACAGGGAGACAGCAGGGACAGAGGGGACAGCAGGGCTGGGGGACAACAGGGACAGAGGGAGCAGGGATGGGGACAGCAGGGACAGAGGGGGACAGCAGGGATGGGGACAGCAGGGACAGAGAGGGACAGCAGGGATGGGGGACAGTAGGGACAGAGGAAGCAGGGACAGAGGGAGCAGGGACAAGGGGACAGCAGGGACAGAGAGGGACAGCAGGGATGGGGGACAGTAGGGACAGAGGAAGCAGAGACAGAGGGAGCAGGGACAGGGGGACAGCAGAGACAGAGGGAGCAGGGACAGGGAGACAGCAGGGACAGAGGGGGACAGCAGGGATGGGGACAGCAGGGACAGGGGGACAGCAGGGACAGGGGGCAGCAGGGATGGGGGACAGCAGGGACAGAGAGGAACAGCAGGGATGGGGACAGTAGGGATGGAGGAAGCAGGGACAGAGGGAGCAGGGACGGGGGACAGCAGGGACAGAGGGAGCAGGGACAGGGGGACAGCTGGGACAGCAAGAACAGAGGAAGCAGGGACAGAGGGGGACAGCAGGGACGGGGACAGCAGGGACAGCAAGGACAGAGGGAGCAGGGACGGGGGACAGCAGGGACAGAGGGAGCAGGGGCAGGGAGACAGCAGGGACGGGGGGACAGCAGGGATGGGGACAGCAGGGACAGGGGCAGCAGGGACGGAGGATAGCAGGGATGGGGACAGCAGGGATGGGGGACAGCAGGGATGGGGACATCAGGGACAGGGGCAGCAGGGACAGGGGGACAGCAGGGACGGGGGACAGCAGGAGGGACACTAGCCAGGTCGCTGGTGCACTGTCCGAGGTGTGGGGGAAGGCAGCAGGGCTGGAGTGGAAGTGAGAGGAACAGGAGGCAAACATGTAACCCCTTCCTCCCCTTTGCAGAGGGGCTGAAATCCTGAGTGTTAGCAGGTGGCTGTTCTGGGGACTCCTGGGTCCCCCACTAGCAGGTGGCAGGAGGGCCCCCTTCCTTTCGGGCTGGGGTGCAATACCGCCTCTCACCAGCAGTGGCCACTAGCGGCCCTGCGCCTTCCGAACCCCAGACAGGTGCGTGGGGAGCAGGTTAGATGCAGTCTGGGGGTGCTGAGCCTCAAGGCTGGGGACCCCCAGGGTGATCCACTGCTGGCTTTGATGAGACCGGCCAGGCTGGTGCTCACTCTGCCCTGGTCCTGCTGCTGGGGACAGTGCAGGTTCTGTCCTTCATCTTTCTCCTCCTGCAGCCTGAGCCTCAGACCCCCTCCCAGCCCAGTCAAGGCCTTCCTGTGACCTCTGACCTATGAAATCATTTCTTCGGTGGAGTCACCCTTCAAGACAAAAGGGTCCGCCCTCCTGGACAAGCTCCCTTGTGACTTTTCTCAGAGACAGTGGAAAAGACCAGTCCTTCCCACCTGTGCATGGTCCCCTCCAACCCCCTCCCAGCCCCCATCTGGCTGGATTCTCACTGCACCCCCGAGAATTGGGTATTACTGTCCTCACGTTACAACAGAAAAAGCGAAGGGTCAGAGAGGCAGAGTGACGTTCCTAAAAAGTATTATCCTGGTTTCTGAGCTCCCGCCTCTCCCCTCCAGACCTTCCCTCCCATGCTCTCCTCAGCAAAGTCAGGCCAGACTCTGCAAACCCTCTTCTCTCCTGGCCAGCTGGTGTCCCCTTGGGTTTTGCCAGCAGGAGGCACTTGGGGGAATACCAGGAGCGGGATTGGGGAGAAGAATGCCCGCCTTCTGGTTTTACCTGTTGCTCCTGCAAGTGGCCTCACCTGAGATCCCAGTCTCTTGGGACCCCAGCTGCCGCAGGTGTTCACTGCTCCCTAGGCTGGTTCTCCAGGCCCGAGGATCCTCTCCGAAGGATTGGGTGGGTGGGCAGGTTGGGGGTGGGGTCTCCTGTCCTCCCACAGCTGCTGGGAAAGTGCCACAAATTCACTTGTTCTCTTAATTTGTGAAAACTTCCTCCACTTGTCTGTGAAGAGCCGCTCAGAAACACCCTTCTCATTACAATGTTAAATTAAAATTTAGTAGACGAGGCACATAGCAGAATAAACTTTCAATTAAAATGTACACACTCCGGTGGTGGAAGGGGGCTGGAGAGAACTTGCAGGCATCTTTGCTGCGAATGTGCTCGAGATTTAATTTTACTATGACATCTCCTTGGAATTACACTGCTAATTGATCACATTGTGTCTGTCTGTTATTTAAACTTTCAATAAAACGGAGATTAATGGAAGGTGTAATCCTCCCGGGCAGAACAAATATTCCCATTGCTCATGTCAGGTACAGAAATGGAAATGCTTGGCTAACAGCTTTTTGCATTCAATCTGCGAACATGAAGTTAATCATGAAAAATGCAGTGATTCTTTAATTGCTTGAATGAAATTTTTTCTGCCTGCCCCATTTCTCACCCAAAATAGCCACCCTTGTTGGAGGTGTGGAATGAAGCGGCAGGGAGGCAGGGCCGGGCTTCAGGGGCGGGGGATCTGGGGGGGGGCAGCTGTGGGGTGGCTGGCGTCTGTGTCTGAGGACATGTGGCCGTCAGGTGGGACAGAGCCCAGCTGCTGCAGGAAACCTCCTGCCACTTTGTGATTTTGGCAAGAATGTGTGGTGGGGAAAAGGGCTTGTCTGTGGCTCAGACTCCCGGAGCGGAGCAGGGGGGGCGGAGAAGATGCTGGGATCTAGAAGGCCCCTGAGCCCTCGTTCAGGTTGGGGGCAGGACCCAGAGTAGCAAGTACGAGCCCTCCAGCGCCGCCACCACCTCCTAACCTGAGGCCTTGGACAAGTTCCTTCAATTCCCCATGCTTCACCTTCCCCTCCCGTGGATGGGCGTGAAGGTCACGATCTCCAAGGGCCGTCGTGGAATGCGCTGTGATGTATGCCAAGCACCCAGAATCGGGGCCGCCGGGCCATCCTGTGTGCTGAGCAAGCTTGGCTACTGTCATTAGTATGCTCTCAGCTGGCGCTTCTGTCTTCTTTATGGTTCCTCTGCCAAGTCCAGGCGCAGTTAAGCACATACCTTGGAGTTGGAAGGTAGGGACTTTATTCCCGCATCTTCCACCAGCTAGCTGTGTGACGTTGTATGCAGTGGACATGGAAGTGCCTGCCTCCCAGGGCTTCTGCAAAGGTGGAGTACAGGTAGAAAGAACCCTGATTTCAGTCCTCGGCACGCAGAAAGCACATAAAAGTCCATCCTTCTGTCCAGGCCCTGCAGGACCCATCCAGCCCCTTTCCCACTAAGGCAGCGCGGATCCAGACCGTGTGTGATCAGTCTCTCTGTGGCTTCCACCCCCTGGGGTTTTTTGAACTGAGTCTGGATAATGGAGCCACACAGCTGGACCTGTTGCCCTGACCCACGGCAGCCTTCAGGCCCTCGAGGTTGATGCTCCCATTCCCTTCTGTCCTCCCTTCTGCAGGAGGATCCTTTCTACCTCCTTCAGGTGTTTTCCAATGCAGTGGATTCTGGTCCTTCATTTACATTAAGCCACCCTCATGTCATGTCCCTTTGTGAGTTTGGGAGACTCAGTACCCCAGGTGAGCCTGGAGTAGCATAAAGGACAGGGACACAGCCACCTCCCATATTCTGGACACTATGCTTCTATTGATATGACCCAGATGGCATTCATTTCTTGCTAGCCATGTCACACTGTTAATTCAATGAAATTAGGTAACTAATTTTTTTTCTGCATTTTTTTTTTTCTATGCCTGTGGATGCGGAGTTGTGTTCTTTGCATCTTGTGCTAACAGCCAGATTGCTGGACCCACATGTAGGGCTTTACTTTGTTCTTCGTAGAGTTCTTTATGTTCTTACCTGCTAGTATTACTTGGGCTCCTAATTCTGACATCTGCCATGTGAATGTCATGGTTTTCAAATATTTCACAAGTATGATATTAAACCTCTTTCTATATGTAGGAAGAAAACAAGACCTAATTTGAAGGAAAGACTTGCTGAGGGGCACGCAACCAACATACAGAGAATCAGCACAAAGACCCAGTTTTTCTGAATCGAAGTCCAGGGATCACGGAAGTTCAGAGCTGGGAGAGGGAAGGGAAGCAGAAGTCGTCATCCTATCTGCCATATTTCTGATGAGAGGCTGGCTATCCACCCCTTTTGGAACGACCCCAGTGGGAGAGGAGAAGCTCATTGCCTCCATCCCAGGAGAGAATGACTCTCATTGTCGAAACGTTCCTCCTTGAGCTGGGCTGCCATCAGCCTTGCACGAGATGTGTGGGAGATGAGGGTCTTTCCAAATGTTTCAGTCGGGGCTTTTTGGTTGCAAGAAATGGGGATCTACGTGGGTGAGCGCAGGGAAAGGGGGCTTGCGGGGAGGCTGTAGGAGGGACCCCGGTTCTGTCCCACGCTCGTCCTCACTCTCTTGCTGATCTGGGCTTCCATCCCATTCTTTCTCTTTGCAGACTCACTCGCACTCCTGCACCCTGGACTTCGCCCCACGCGGCTGCCCCAGCTCAGCTCTGTGGGGACCCTCAGCAGCAGCCTTCCCCCCCCAAGTGGCCACAGTCCTCCCCGTCTTTCAGTTCAAGTTCCGGGGATGGAATCCCATCAGCGGGGATGGAATCCGATCAGCCTGGATTCTCTGGGAACAGAGTCTAAGACAAAAGCTTCTGTGGCCTTGGGAAGTGTGGCCTCAGGAAGCAGGGGCGAGGACAGGGGAGGGAGGCAGGAGAGGGGCAGGTAGGGGTGTGTGCTGAGCTGGCCCCAGCGTCCGGCCAGGTGGCTGCTTGGACTTCAGGTCCGCGGCAGAGAGGCCCCACGAAGCCACCACCTTTCCAGTCTGTTTAGGACGGAGGTTCTCGACGGGGGCTGATTTTGTCCCCCTGGGAACCTGTGTCTGGAGAAAGGGGAGTGCAAGTGCCCCAAGTGGGTGGAGGAGGAGGAGCCCCCGCCTGACTGGCCTTGCTGACATCGTGTCGCCGCACTCCAGAAAACCCGCCTTGGGTCCTTGGTGGAGTGCGGCAGAGTCTGGAGCTGTGTGTGCTAGGGGACGTGGGACCCCTGGCCCCCGGGGGGGAGGGGCCGCCCTGCTCGGCGGCGTTTGCTGTTTCCTTCATGCTGTAAACACTGTCACGGTGGCCGATTGCAAGGTACGAGCAGATTCACGATCAGCTTGTGACCTTCCGGCCAACGATGGAACAGCTGGTTCCCGAGAGTCCCGGTGAGCCTCTGCCGCGGGTCTGCACGCGCAAGCAGATGAATCAACACGCGAGGAGCTCAGCGCGCCAGGAAGACAGCAGTGAGGTGCCACAGACCTTTGTTGTCCTCCTCGTAGACCCTTGCCTCTTGTCCCGTCACTCTGTGTGCATCGCCCCAGAGCAGAGGCGTGTGGGGTGGGAGGGAAGCCGTTTGCTGATTCTCCGCCTGGATTTTCTTTCTTTCTTTCTTTTCGGTCCAAAAATAACACTATTAGAACAGAAAGCTCTTTTGGACATTTAGACAAACATGTTTAAGTCTACAAGAGTAGCTGCCATCTGGTCTCGGGAACAGAAAAAATTCCAAATGCTGGGGGAAGGAAACTAAAAACTCCCCAAACGGTGGGGAAAAGGCTGAGCATGTTGCCTGTGCGCCCCAGCTAGAGTGTCCCCGTGTCCCCACCTCCTGGAAGAGCCCTGGCAGGGTGGGGGGGTCCGCGGGATCTGGAGCAGGGAGGATGCCGGGGAAGCACGGAGAAAGCAGGCTCCGATGTGGATAAACACCTGCTCCGGCCGTGGTCCAGCACGCTGAGCTCTTGCTGGGTCGTCGGACGAGCTCCCGGAGGGCCCAACACCGGCAGCGAGAGACCCTTGCGGGCAGAGGGACGCCTGTCCGGGTGGCGGCGTCCAGCTGCCTCGGTCACGTGGCCGTGACCCCGGCGAGAGGAAGGGGACCCGGACGTGACAGGTCTGCGCCACCTTCGAAGGGAGCTTGAGGTTCAATCACAAAGAAATTACGTCACGTGTTTGTATACAGCTCGGTCTGTGGACTGGGACAGAAACTCCGGCTCTTTGCTCCAGACTAGGGGTCAGGAAACTTCCCCAGAAAGGGCTGGGGTAACTGTTTTGGGTTTGGGGGGTCACATAAAAAGACACAGAGCTTTTCTCTCTTTTTCTTTCTTTCTTCTTTTCTCTCTTTCTTTCTTTCTTTCTTTCTTTCTTTCTTTCTTTCTTTCTTTCTTTCTTTCTTTCTTTCTTTCTCTCTCTCTCTCTCTCTCTCTCTCTTTCTTTCTTTCTTTCTCTTTCGTGACCCTGGCCACGATCTGGTCGGTGACTCTGGCCTCCAAAGAGCCCTGATCTATCCACAGCCCCAGCCCCGAGAGGTACCCCATGCGCTGGGGGCCTCTGCTCTGTCAACGCATGTGGGAGCACACGCAGCTCTGTGTGGCCGTGCTCTGCTTTGGACAGAACTCCGGGCTGGGTCCCTTGTCCTGAGAATTGGGGCAGGTTAGGAGCATTGTCTCCGTATGCAAAAGACCATGTGTGGGAAGGTGGGGAAGGGTTTTTCTTCTGACATTGGGAGAGCAGACCTGGCATCCTGATTTTATTTTCAGGGTATTTTCTGCCAAAGAGGGGAATGGAGGGGAAAACCTGCCCTCTCCCGCTTTGAGACCATTAAACCTCAGGCAACTTGCTTGAGGGACTGTCAACAAGCAATCAGTGAACTCTCAGCACCTGGGGGGTGGTTTGAGCCCCAGTTACTGCTGTGCCAGGAGACGCACGGCTAGATGGGAGCCCCGTTGGTGAGGAGCCTCTGTGAGGGTGGACAGGGCACGGCGGGCAGGACACGGCGGGCAGGGCACGGTGGACAGGTCACGGTGGACAGGGCAGGGTGGACAGGGCAGGGCGGACAGGGCAGGGCGGACAGGACACGGAGGACAGGGCAGGGTGGACAGGGCAGGGCGGACAGGGCAGGGTGGACAGGGCAGGGTGGACAGGACACGGCGGGCAGGACACGGCGGGCAGGGCACGGTGGACAGGTCACGGTGGACAGGGCAGGGTGGACAGGGCAGGGCGGACAGGGCAGGGCGGACAGGACACGGCGGGCAGGACACGGCGGGCAGGACACGGCGGACAGGGCAGGGTGGACAGGACACGGCGGGCAGGACACGGCGGACAGGGCAGGGTGGACAGGGCACAGTGGACAGGGCATGGTGGACAGGGCAGGGTGGACAGGGCAGGGCGGACAGGGCAGGGTGGACAGGACATGGAGGACAGGGCAGGGTGGATAGGGCACGGTGGGCAGGGCACGGTGGACAGGGCAGGGTGGACAGGGCACGGTGGACAGGGCATGGTGGACAGGGCAGGGTGGACAGGGCAGGGTGGACAGGACACGGCGGACAGGACACGGCGGACAGGGCACGGTGGACAGGTCACGGTGGACAGGGCAGGGTGGACAGGGCAGGGCGGACAGGGCAGGGCGGACAGGACACGGAGGACAGGGCAGG